ACACAGCCCGCAGCCTCACAGCCAGGCTGAGGACAGGCAGGCATTTGACCAGGGCACCGAGTGGGGATGGTGGGTCGTCAGGGATCCAGAGCACAAAGTAGACGGTGCAGGTGAGGAAGAAGAGGCTGAGCCCACTGGCGGCGTGCAGGGCCTTGGGGTGGGGGCGGACAGGAGGACTGTGAGCTCCAGGACCAGGCTGCAGCCCACCCAACACGGCTGGGACTCACCCATCCAGGCCACCTGGGCCCCGGGCCCAGCTGCGGCGGGACTCAGGTGTGGGGGTCCCCGCCCTCCCCTGCTGTCACCAGGCCTCCAGCCTGCCCAGGACCCGGTCCCCCAGCCCTTGCGGACCCCTCAGCCTCCAGCTTGGCCCCCAGGGCTCTGTCCCCACCTCCCTGCACCCCCAGGGGCTCTCACATGGGCCACAAGGCCAGGCTCTCGGAGTCGCCCCCTTCCCCCGGTGTCCATGCTGGTCCGTGTCACCCCCAGTCACCTCTGCCTGGGCGCTGGTGGCTTTGGGGGATGAAGGGGAAGGCACATGGTTACACGTTAACTCGCAGCGATGTCCTGTGGACTCTGGGACTGATAACAGGGCCCAGGGAGCTGTCACCCCCAGCCCAGGGATTGCCCTGCCTGCCACTGGCTGATAAGGTGCCCATCGGGACCCTGGGCTCCTCCTCCACTCCCATCACGCCCCCGCCTGGCTTCTCCTGTGAAAACCCCCCCTGTCTGGTTCCTAACCCATCAGGAAAGGATGGGGGCCAGCTCCCAGACCCAGCCTCCACTGGCGAGGAGGGGCAGCACCACGGGGCTCAGCCCACAGGGAGTCCCTCGCTAGGTGCTGGGGAAGCTGGTGCCACTGCCGCGAGACCTCTCCACTTGCTGCCCCAGAGAGCAAGGGTACCACCGCCGCACCGCCTGTGGTCCTCAGGACCCTGGCCCACGTCCCCAAGCCGCTGAGCCCGCCGTCCTAAAGTCCCGAAGGACTCGAGAAAGGGACGGATGAAGAGTGGGAACAGACAGAACCAGCCGCACCGGGTCTCAGGAGTCTCATGGCCTCGGGGCTTGTGAGGATGACCTGGTCACTGGGGCTGGTGGCACGAGGGTGTGACAAGGTCTCTGCAGACGCCATGGCATCACGCTTGTTCTTCCCGGCCTCCGGCTCTCAGGGAAGGCCTACAGTACCCCCACATGCACCAGGTGGTAAACAGGGCAAGCTTGCCACCTCCACGCTGGGCAGGTGGCCCTGCGTCCGTCCCTGCAGTTGTGGGGCTGGAACTTGAACCTTGCCTGACGGACGCTGCAGCTGTCGTCAAACCCCAAGGTGCAGCAGGGAGCACCAGGACCTTGAAGGAAACCAAGGCCCCAAGTCTGCACCATGTGGGGCCTCGTTCCTCTCCACAGGCTCCCCTGTGCGGGGGTGCAGCCCTCAGCCTTGTGGCCCTCAACCTGCCTTGTGGGACAGGGACGCGCAGGGCTGGGAGTCACCCAGGGCTGGGCCCCAGAATGCAGCCTGAGCGTGAGCAGCGTGCTAGGCTCACTTCCTCCTCACAAACAACCCCTTCCTACTCTGGGCAGCAGCTGTGTCCCCCAAATGCCCCTCGGGGGGACCCCAGGAAACGATCCCTTCCTGCTGTGGGCAGCTGTCCACATCCCCACTCTCCAGGCGGACTCCAAAAATCACACCCCACTTGCTCCAAGCCCGTGTTCCTCTCCCCTGACTCCTGCCACGGCTCCGACAGGGGGCCTGGAGGTCTGATTCTTCCCTAGGGCCACCACTACGGCAGGGACAGGGGGTCCGGGACCCCCAGAGCTGTGCAGTGGAGCCAGAGTAGGGGTCCTGGCCCACACCCCCACAGCCTGAGCACCAAGCAGTCATCCCCGCTTTTCTCCTTTATTTTATTTGCAACATGAAATAAAGCTTGCAGACACGCACCACTCACACAGCTCGCTCGGGACAGGGTGCTGGGACAAGGTCACTTGGCAGCTGGGCCTGGGGCCCGAAACACTCGGGACGGGGGGCCCCAGCCAGACCCCTACCCGGTGCTGGGAGAGGCCAGAGAGGGAGGGGATAGGGTGTCTGCAGGGTATCCACGGCCACGAAGGAATTTCTGGGGTCCCTCGTGGATAGGCCCCCATGGATGGGACCCTAGCCCTGTCCCCAGCAAGACCTTGGGCTCCAAGCCAGGTGACAGGGGAGAACTGGGGGAGGGGCTCAGCAAAGGCATGGCCTCCTGGCCCGACTGCCCCCCGACCTGGTGAGCTCCCCCCTGCTCGAGGTCCTGAGCTCAGAGGCTGGGATGAGGGGCTCTGGCTTCAGACTGGGGAGGGCACTGCTGCGTGTGGTGAAGCCTCCCCCACCCCTGCCGGGCCAGGCCAGGGAGGGCGCCTGGACCCAACTCTCCGCTCCTCCCGTCTCCACAGAGTCTGGAGCCCAGCCGGCCTGGCTCTCGTCGACACTCTGTATCTTTATTCCAGGAGGCAAAGCTCCTTGTTTTCAGTGCAAATGGGGATGGGCAGGCGGGCCCCCCACCCCCAGCACCAGCTCCTGGGAGCCCACAGGATGGGGGGCAGGGAAGCGGGAGCCCCGGGAGCCAGCCCTGCCCCCACCCCAGGTAGACTCCCAGGAGCGTGGACGCTGTGGCCATGCTGCCACCACCAGGCCCAGGCAGTCACCTGGAAGAGAGGGAGATGCCAGGTGAGCCCCGGGAGCCGCACTGCCCACCACTGCCCACCGCTCCTGGCAGCCACTGGAAGCCCAGGGCCATGGGCCCACCCAGCGCAGAGCCACCGAGCATTGGAGGCAGCGGCTGGAGGGCCTGGGCACTGTCAGGAGAGGACGCAGGGTCGCGTGACGCTCACAAGGACCCCACCTACCCGCTGGCTGCACCCCTGCTCACCTCTGGCTTTGGGGCAGCCCCAAGGGCGATGGATTCTTCTCCCCCTCGGTGGTCTCAGGGAGTTGCTGGGCCCCAGAGGCTGGGACAGAGGTAGAGGGGTCTCTGCTTGCACTGGGGGAGAGGGGAGCATCAGCAACACAGATGACCCCTGGGGCACCCAGCCATCCTGTACAGGTTGGGGCACCTGCCTGGTCACAGGCTGGGAGCCCCAGTGTAACACCCTGCCCCCCCAGCACTTGGCCCCTCCAAGAACCTACATACACCAGGCAGCACACCAACCCCTGGGCTGTGGATGGACAGACAACCTCTAACGGCCCCACCCCTATGAGCCCACCCCCACCCAGAAGCCCTGGCCCGATCCCTCAGCTGAGCCCCAATGTCACTAACACAGGCACAGCCCTGTGACACATAAGGACTGGGCAGAGAGGGCGAGAAGACAAGAGGTCCCAGGCAGAGACCATGGGCCCGGCTGGTCTGAGCAGCTGTAGGTGGACAAGGCAGGCCCACGTCAACCAGGAAGACTGGGTGCCGGCCCTCCCCGCCCCAGTGGCAGTAGCCTGTCACCTGTCTGAGGAGCTGGGGGCACTGCACATTCTGCTGAGGGTGGCCTGGAGGTCCCCGACACTGACCAAGGCCTGGCAGGGGGCTGTGGCGGGCAGAGAGGAAGCAGTGAGGCACCTATGAGGTGGAGGCACTGGGCACACAGATGGTAGGGCAGGGGACAACGGAGCGAGGACAGCACTTGGGAGGGGACACTCCTCACCCGCAGGCGCCACCATGCCACCGCCGGCAGAGGCTTCCTGAGGTGCTGAAGGGGCTGCAGGGTCCTGAGACCTGGTTGGGAGGCAGCCAGAGGTCAGGCTGGGGCCAGGTGGGCAGTGCCCCTGCCCGCAGCCTAGGCTCCTCACCGAGTCCTCACCTAACCTGCAGGGCTTCACCGGCTGCAAGGGCAGCCAGGCTTGGGGCAGGTGGGCCCTGGGGGCCATCGCGAGGCCCCTGGGGCGCCGGGGCACCGGGGCTGGGCTCCTTGTCCCTGGAGACACAGGGGCCTGACGGGGCTTCAGTAGGCACTGGGTCGAAGGTGGCCGTCCAGCCAGGGCCTGGCGAGGGAGCAAGTGGGAGCTGAGTGCAGGGCCAGGGCTCGGTCGCTGACCCCCCCTCCCCACTCCACTCACCCTGAGGCGGTGCTGCCACAGGCTGGAGGCCGGCGCTCAGGCAGGAGGGGGAGCCGGCCCCGCCCCTGGCCATGTGGCCGTCACCGTCCTCCTCCTCATCGTCCTCGTCTTCATCCTCCTCATCTTCCTCCTCACTGTCTGTGCTGCCTCCGCTCCTGTCCCAAGAAAGGCCCTTGTCACTGCTGTGTGGGCACCCAGGGGACGTGGACGGCCCCGACCACTGTGACCACTTAGGCTGGGCACCCAGGGGACGTGGACAGCCCCGACCACCGTTACTAGGCCTTGCTGCCCGCTGCCTCTGGGGCCCCTTGGGAACAAGGCAGCAGGTGGTGGGAGAGATGGGGTGGGACATGCAGCAGGGCTTTCCCAGCCGGGGGCCTGTGTGAGGAGATGCACAGATGAATGGCCGACAAGGCGTGGCCTGTCCGCACCAGGGGATACCACGCGGCTGTGGAACAACGTGGAAGAGACCAGAGAGGAAACACCTGTGTGCGTCCAATGTCCAGAGAAGGCAGACCCACAGCAGCCCCGGGGAGTGACGGCTAGGCACTGGCCGCGGCTCAGCCTGAATCGCGCTCCCCAGCCCCGTGCTGTCAGTCTTGACCTGCGTCCCCTCTGGTCTCTGTCCCATCACCGAGGAGGGTCAGCGTCCGGCACATCTCGGCTGCGTCTCTTTGGAGGTACCAAGGAGATTAAACAAGGAAGCAACAGGCAGAGACGGGAAAGAGCGGTGTCCAGCCCCGGGAAGACGGCCCGGAGCAAGCTCACAAGGGGCCAGGAGTCTCCCAGAGCCGGAAGAGAGCGCCTTCCTCCCGAGCCGGCCCTGGGCTCAGGGACTTGGAGCCTCCTGACCTGGGAGCGAGTAAACGGGCCGTTACAGCACCCCCTTGTGGTGTTCTGTTGGAGCAGCACCAGAGAAACAACGCTGCCAACGAAAGGCCGGGGCTGGGCCCACAGGGCAGCTCTGCGGGAGACAGGTCTGACTGCGCCCAGGTTCCAGCCTAGGAAACCCAGGGGCAGCTTCCCTGTCCCACGGGGCTGCTATGGGCGTGCCGGACTCCACACAGCAGCCCAACAACAGCATGGCACAGAGAGGGGACTGGGGTTGCCAGGAGCCAGGGTGGGCACGGGACCTGGAATGACCGGGCAACAGAGACCTCTTCAGGATGCCGAGAGTACTCTGACCCCGGAGGTGGTGGCGGCTGCGCTACTTGGGAGAGGACGCAGAAAGCGCTCCCACACCTGAAGAGGGTGAGCTGCACCTCAGGAGAGCTGCCGCGAGAAAGGAAGGTTGTCGTCTTTTCTAACAAAAAGGGAAACTCACTCCAAAACACCCACTACTGTCCAGTCAGTTCTGACCCACAGCACCCCCACAGGACAGAGTGGAACTGCACCACAGGGTCTCCAAGGCTGTCAGTCTTCACAGAAGCTGACTGCCTCATCTTTCTCCCTCGAAGTAAGCTGGTAGGTTTGAACTGCTGGCCTTTTGGTTAGCATTCAAATGCTTTAACCACTGCACCACCAGAGTTCCTCAATCCTGCTCCCCTAGGTACATAAAACCAAGCCAGCTGCCCTCGAGTAGATTCGGACCCCTCCGTGGGTGTCAGAGTACAATTGGGTTCCACGGGGTCTCCGATGGCTAATTTTGTGTGTGTGTGTGTGTGTGTGTGTGTGTGCGTGCACGCGCACACACACGTGCATGCAGTGGTTAAGTGCTTGGCCGCTAATGAAAGGTTGCTGGTTCAAGCCCACCAGCCATTCTGTGGGAGGAAGATGTGGCAGTATGTTTCCATGAAGATTACAGCCTTAGAAACCCTATGAGGCACTTCTTCTGTGTCTCATCAGGTCACAATGAGTTGGAATCAACTTAATTGCAACAGCTAAACTCGGCCGGTGCTTACTGTGGGCAGACACTGTTCTAAATGCCTTATGAATAATAACTAACTTTATCCTCACAGTGTTTCTGCAACATAGACTGTTCCCAGAAAAGTGAAGGAACATATACCCAAGGTCACACAGCAAAGATAAAATGCTAGAGTAATTCTTAGGCAAAATTCTCTCCCCTACAGTCTGCAGTCTCTGTAGGAAGGCCAGTCACCCCTGCCTACTCTAGAAACTGACGGAGTCAGGCTTGGCTTACTCCACTTCCTGCTGTAGTGCGGGTCCACGACCTGAGCACAGTTCACCACATGTTCTCCCTGGAACAGTGCGCTGTGGGGTGCAGCACAAGGATGGGGGAGTGTTGGCAGTCACTTATCACAGCGGCTGTGTCCTGAGCCCTTCAAGGGGCAAGGATTCTGATGCGGTGATTTCTGCTTCTAACTTCTCGGTCCAAGTCTCCTCAACTTCAATGGCTGATTTTTTGGAAGCAGGTCACCAAACCTTGCTCCTGAAGCACCTAGGGGTGGACTCGAACCCCCAACCTTGTTGTTGTGGTCGTTGGGTGCTGTTGAGTCAGCTCCGACTCA